CCCCAAAACCCCAAAACCCCAAAACCCCAAAACCCCAAGCTTTAATGATATAATTGAAGATCTACAGCTTTTTATGGATCTTAGGATGCCCGTCATCGAAAAAAGAATCACTAATCATCCCAAAGTTCATAGTTGAATATGGGGCAATGGTAAGGTCATTATTGCTAAAGAGTGATAGAGTACGACCTACGATCTGGTTGGATCTCTTGCGAAAGAGTTATCTTTAGTATTTCAATATCTATACTGTTCACTTAAATTTCTTCCAGTGCGGTCAGTGTACATAGTATCATTGACACTTAGAATATGTGAAGGATCTTGGGTGCCAAAGTCTAGCCGAGGTTTGACAGAAGCAAAGCCTCTCTTTTTCCTTTGTCTCATAATCTCTAAACATAGATACCTATCTTACGCCTGTCAGAGGTGAGACTATGATTAGTAGTAGAGTTGCTTATAACTTCAAGTTTCTGTAAACTTTCCTGACCATATTTATGTTATACTTTGACCTCTCTCCTTCCTAAGGGATACACAAATAGGCTTACTTGAGAAAAGAGTCTAGAGATTACCATAAAGCAATTTTACCTTATTCTTGGAGCATCTAGTTCCTTCCAATGTTGGTTAGATTTGACTAGAGATTTCAAGACTGAAGAGTACCCCATTTGACATCAACTTTGTTCTTAAGTCTTCTGTACATTCTTTTTAGATTCAGACTGGAGTTGTGGCTATTTTTAGAAGATTTGCACATACTTTTCACCATTTTTAGTTGACTTTTTGGCCAGGGGTTTCTAGAAATAGCAGGAGATTTTACTCTTTGAGCTATTGGAGCTTCTTTTGGCTTAGTTGGTATCTAGGAGTTCTGCAGTTTTTACTTACTCAAGTCATCAGTTTGTTTATCTCTAGTGTTGTATCATTACTAAGCTCATTGAATTTAAGCTGAGGAGAGAAATGACTGTTCCGAAACTTTCGCATGAAGTTGAGAGTCCCGATTTTTGGCATCTGAGGGAAGACATTTGGTGTGAAATCTCTTTTACTTGAAAGATATTTCTCTAAGCTCTCAATTTGCTTGATCTTTATAATACTTCCTTTGCAACAACCCCCCTGATATTTCTCTTTAACATTATCTTTCTAAACCTAATAACCCTCCCTCACCTCTTTATCCCTACTTCTCCTGCCCAAACTGATTCGGTTATGCTCTATCTGCGCTGCCTTCTTCATCTCATACACTCTTCCTACCAAAATCACCCCTAAAAGCTACCAATTAAATTCCTTCTGGCTCATCCCTTTCTATACTTTCTCTCCCTAATTCCCTTCCTGCTGCCTTCCTTTGTTTCACCTTCTCTCACAGCAATCTCCTGCTTCCCCTTCATCTGTCTTCTCACTGTAGAATCTCCTTGGGTTTCCTTCTTTTCGTTTATTGGCTTAACTCTTTTAGCAGGTTTCAGGTCTTTGTTCGGGTTAAAATGTCTAGGTTTAGGAACAGGATTGGTACTTTTGGGATTTAGGTGGTGGCTGGAAGGGGATTTTGGTGGGTTTTGAAGGGGATTTAGGGGTTCTGTAGAGGGGGTTAGGGAAAGTGGGGTTTTGGGGAAGGAGGTTACTTTTGAGGGAAGTTGAGGGCAGGTTTGGGATTATTGGATGGATTTGGGGTTTGAGTGAGGGTGTTTTTGTAAGGGTTGGTGTTGGGTTTTGGTTTGTAATTTTGTGAGTTTTTGGGTTGGGTTCTTGGAGTCTGATTTGTTAGGTTGAAGAGTTACTCGAGATGTAGATTTTGGCTTATTTGGGTGCTTTAGAAGCATTTTGTGGTCTTTTAGATGTTTTAAATTTTTGGTATCTTGAGATGGAGATTTTTTTATTCTTGTGTTCAGGTTTTTATATAAATTTACGAGAGCACTAGTCCGAGCTTCGCTACTTCCATCTGAATATTTTGCAAATCCGATACTCTAAAAATAAATGTGTTAATTAAAACAGAAAAGTAGAATAATGCTAATTACCACCTCTCCCATTCTATACCCCAAATTATTCCTCCTAACCAACCCCTTGGACTAAAATCCAAAACAAACCTCTCAAAACCCCTCCAAACCCCCTCAAACTTCCTCCAAAACCCCAAAACTTAAATTTTAATTAAACTATCCCCAAATCCTTACCTCCACCTTCTCACTTTCATCCCCCAACCCCTTCTGCTCTGCTTCACTCTCCCCCTCCACTCTTCCTTCCTTCACAAGTCTCTCTAGATCTATACTTCACCTCAAATCCCACTACCAAATCTCTTGAACGCTCCACTGCTTTCTGACTCTATTACAAAGTAATCTTTCGGGAGCCCAGCTGGGAATTCATCTGAATCCATATTTTATTTTAAATTTTGTTCGATTTTTGGGGTTTTGGGGTTTTGGGGTTTTGGGGTTTTGGGG